AGCTGAGGCCATACTTCTTGGGTTTCAACATTATATTGTGATGCTCGGTACAACTGTGCTAATTCCCACTGCTCTTGTTCCCCAGATGGGAGGTGGCAATGTAAGCTTTAGCAAATTAAATATACTTAAAATAAACAATTCTAAATGAAATAATTTAAAAGTTTCCTCCTAGCCAAAAATCATATGTATAAAAAAGTAGAAAATTGAAAGTCCATTTCTTGCAGGAGGAGAAGGCAAAAGTTATTCAAACTCTACTCTTTGTAGCTGGAATTAACACATTGCTGCAGACTCTGTTTGGAACTCGATTGCCTGCAGTAATTGGAGGGTCTTATGCTTATGTTGCAACAACCATCTCTATTATTCGTGATAGCCGTTACAGTGATGAGCCAGATCCCACAGAGGTCTTGTATTGGAATTTTTTTTTATAAGTTGTGGTTGATATACTTGCCAAACAAAGGCTTCCAAATGCTTTCTAATCTGTATAGTTTTTAGCAAATTTATTCCAATGAAGGGTGGGTTAATCAATGCATTAGAAACTGTGTAAAGAGTAAAGTTGGGTTCAATTCCTGGTGTGCTTGAAGAGTACCTTGAAATTATAAGGAAACTATTTACAGAAAAAAGAAAGTGTAATTCTAATTCACGGAGTTGCTTATTTGATGGAGTTGCTGGATCACTATTTTGTTTTCCGGGTGTACATGAGCAGTTTAATCACTTTCTTCCTCTGCCTTTTGGATTTATTTTCTCTTCTTTCAGCAATTCAAGAGGATAATGCGGGCAACCCAAGGTGCTCTTATTGTTGCATCAACTCTTCAAATAGTACTAGGTTTTAGTGGGCTTTGGCGTAATGTTGCAAGGTTGGTCTCAAGTCCTTAGTAAGTGTCTGTTATATTAGTCTTCTTATATGGTAAAAAGTGTCTAAACAGAAATGTAATATAGATTTATCGTCTTTGCCATGAATGCTCATTTGACAGTTGTTACTTTGAATTGAAATTTGGTTTTAAGTACAAATTATACTGACATGATTGACTTATTTGTGTGATGGAATTTGTATCAACAATGTAGTCCCATTGAACTAAAGAGATTGAAAGAACTGAATATTCCTGCAATTGAGTGTAATATTGCAACTGATATAAGTTTTCAATTTCTTTTTCAGGTTCTTGAGTCCACTTTCAGCAGTTCCTTTGGTATCTCTTGTTGGTTTTGGGCTTTACGAGCTCGGCTTTCCTGGGGTAAGTACACATTTTAGTTGCTTGGGTTCAAAGCTAAGATAAATGTTGATGTCTTGCTGGTGTGTAGGTTGCTAAATGTATAGAGATTGGACTGCCGCAGCTCATATTGCTAGTATTTGTTTCACAGGTACAGTTCTTTATAGTGTCAAAAACTCTTAGCGTCATGATCTCAGTTCATTTTGTTCTCTTGATTTCCTTGCTAGTATTTTGTTCTCTTGATCTTGGTTCTATGAATCTTTGTTAACAACACTTACTGCTTTTCATGCAGTTTGTACCACATGTTCTACATGCAGGAAAACATGTCTTCGAACGGTTCACTGTTTTATTTACAATTGCAATTGTGTGGCTATATGCCTATCTGCTCACTGTTGGAGGGGCTTACAATCATGCTGCCCCTAAAACACAAGGAACTTGCCGTACTGATCGTGCTGGTTTAATAGAATCTGCCCCATGGTTAGTAGTGAAGTTTCATTGGTTATTTCTCTAAATGGTATTTTTTTTTTTGGCTGGCAACTGGTTATTTAATCACCAAAATGTCCATAAATTGGGGTGTGGTTTTTCACTTTAACATTTTATCTCTACGTGATTGCTTCCCAAAATTAAAAAATGTACCTTCTGCTGATGGGGTTTATTATGGGGATTTATTCTTGTGATTTCCATTTAAATATAGTATATTTTGAGTGGACCCTTTTGGACTTGTGGCTAACTGGGGACATTCCTCTTAGTTGCGTAATCTGTGAATTGTCACATCTGAGTTTCAAAGAAGAACCTCAGGATGCTTTGGCTTTGATTTATTTCTTCTTAATTTGCTAAATTTGTATTGACTTTTCTTCCCAAACCCATCTGTTGATATCAATTCCAGGAGAAGCTACTTCTATGCTGGGCTGTTGAGTGTGTTGAGTTAGGAACTGTGAACTGATGGTTTTGAATAATTGTCACCTTTGTCCTTTTTGGGGAAGTATTCAACATTTTTTTTTTGGGGTTTGCAGGATACATGTTCCATATCCATTTCAATGGGGAGCCCCTACATTTGATGCAGGTCAAGCATTTGCCATGATGATGGCATCCTTTGTTTCCCTCGTAGAGGTAATTTCATTTTGTAGATCAATCTTATCTATATTTAAGTTGGAATGAGAATACCTTTTATTTATTAACTGGTATCGTTCTTCTTGTGTAATAAAAACTTATCCTATTAGCTTATCTTTTATCAATAATCACTGAATGTATATAATGGCTTTATAAGAAAAACTTAGCAACCATATGAAAATTGCTATATAATAGGCTATATTGGGTTGGAGACTGTGGTTGGTACGTTAATGAATGTCTGGAAGAATTATACAGGGTAATGGAAGTAAAAGGAGGGAGATATCTAAATTCTTTTTTCTTAGTTTATCAGTTATGTTCGACCAGTGCAATAATTTTGACCTTTTTATGCAAATCACTTGGGGAAATAGTAATGATATGCATAATTCACTAAAATTTGGCTCTGCACATAGCAGTGATACTGAACAAGAGTATCTGGCTTCTATTCTATATACCAATGCTCTAACTCTAAGTTAGTGTTATACAATTGCCAGTTTATATTGAATGGTACTGATTCGCTAGAATTAATTTATATATTCACAATTCATTTGCTGCAAGCAGTCCAGTGGTGCTTTTATTGCTGTCTATCGGTATGCAAGTGCAACACCTTTACCACCATCTATTCTTAGTCGCGGAATCGGTTGGCAGGTACAAAGATAACTATTATGCCTGCATTTTAGTTTTTCTCATTTATAAAACAAAACTTGAATAAAGTTCCTCTGATCCTTGGGATATAATTTTCAATCAAACAACACGTGGGTGTATTTTCAACATTGTTTAGCCTCTATTAAGAATATGTTTCTTAAGTAAAAAATTGTCACCTCATCATTTGATTTAAGAATTTGATGACTAAGATAGGGATTTGATCTAATCCTTATAATCAATTGTAGTTTAAGGTGTTTTGATTAGGCTGATGATAATGCATCATATTTCTTATCTTCAGGGAGTTGCCATTTTGTTATCGGGATTGTTTGGAACGGGAAATGGATCCTCTGTATCAGTGTAAGACTAAAGTCATTCTGCTTGTATACGCTACTTCAATTTGGGTAAACAACTTTTCTTGGGTATATTGTCGATGAAGGTGTTTTTTGATTTCCGTATAGAGAAAACGCTGGTCTGTTTGGCTTTAACACATAATGGCAGCCGAAGGGTGATGATGAAAAGCAGATAATCGGCTGGTTTTATAGATTTCTGGTTTCAATTCTTGGTGAGTTGAGATGAAGCTCGTGCATAAAGTGCTTGTATAATTTGAATATGATAGTTTGCCTTAACAGACTAAATCTTGTGCCTTGATTCACATCAACTGTAGCTAATTTTTCTTTACCGCGGGTAAATGGTAAATTTGGGAGCTGTTGTTTGTCGTCCATTCCACCTTCTATTGTTGCTGCACTGTACTGAGCTTGTTCTTCGTCTTAATGGTTGGTACGCTCATTATCAAGAGTGTTCTAAGATATGACAGTTCAAGCTTTGGGTTTTAGTTATAGACTTACATCAAACAGCACGTAAGTCTCGCACTTGTCTTCATTATTTGTAGGAGGTGGAACGGGCTAAGTTTTTCTTCCAATTCTGCAACCGGTCACAGTTTTAGACAAATTTTTATAGCTAGGCCTTCTCCATCTTCATTGGTTTGTCTGTGTGGCACAGTACTTCAATGAATACACAGGGCTAATATTGGTTATGAGTACAGTCACACCAAAGCCAGATGGTGTACTGGACTGATCTATGAATGGAGTATGTAAAACACTGATGGATTTGTTCTTAGTACTTATTGCCATGATTCACTAACTGACAATTTTGTGATACCTTGGCAGTTCAACGATATAATAATGTCCCATTTCAATCACAAAGCATTTGTTGCGGGTTGCATGGCGTATTTCCTTGATAACAACAGATACATGAAGAAGGGGGTGCATATTCGGAGACAGATGAAAACATTGGTGGGACAAGTACCAGCTCCTTCAGACTCTTGACACAAGAAGTGAGGAGTTTTTATTCAACTGCCCGGTATATCACCTAAACAAACTTCCCATCTGTGTACGTGTGGTACGCTGAACCAGAGGTCTCTGAAAGGTCGTAATTTATACTTGTTCTGATATGAGTTGGAATCTTATTACAGGTTATAGTGATATATGAAGCATTCTCTTTTGCTATAGAATATTCTAAAACAATTTCATCTCAAAAATCATATGGCTTTTCATTCTGTAATGCTGAATTGGCAATTGGATTCACTGTATAATGCACATCTAATTTAGGGTCTTTCATCATGTAATCTTCACTTTAATCTTTATTTATTTGACAGAAACAGGCTTAGTATCATTCTCCTACTACGTAGCAGAGATCACATCAAAATTGAAACAGAGATAATAATAATAATCAAAATAGTAATAATCGGAAGGTGAATAGGGATTGACAGTTGAAGAGTGAGCAACGAACGTAATAAGAGAACTTTGAATTCTAGGAGTCTTAATCAGCGGTTTATCCATTAGTGTTGTCACATTAATACGTGATAATTTGATTCTAAACTTGATAACCTTGAATTAAAATGTACTGAGTACGAGTATTTTTTGGATAGGGCCGTGATGGAACTTAGAATCTATTTTCTTTAACAGACAAAAAGTTGAAGGCTATTCAATGATTATTGACATAGGTGTTATAGGCAGAGTAGAGAGCTGTTGGTGCGGAAACATCATAATGTGGAATAAAAAACAAAAGTGAAAGATTTACTTTATCTATTCATATCAAAACCGAATAAATTACATAATGTTTCATATGTTTTTTATACGTGTACCGAAGAGTGGGCGTCTCCTTTCATATGAAAAAACTTGTTTTAGAAATAAGTAAATACTTTATTTTTTGTAGGATATATATATTTTTTGTCCTGGTATGGTTTGAGAGGTTTGGAGTCTTTTGTAAATTTTGCATAACAGTTATTACAAGGCATCTTTAAAAAGCTTCTGGAAAAAAAACTAAAATATCTCATGAACTTGATGGTGACATGAGTTTAATTTGAACCTAACAAACAAGATCAACACAACCATATGTCAACTAACTTCCTCAAAACTGAGGAAAATTATAAGATATTTTCATGAACTTTTCTTCTAACATTAATTTGTATTTGATAAAAGTTTTCTATTAAACGGAAGAAGAAGAAAGAGGAAGGGGGGGATAGGGAAGGGGAAAAGAAAACCACCACTTAAAGGAAAATAGAATTCGTTTATATACTGAAAACATTGATCATTGTACATAAATTAAGAAATCAACTTCTTATAAAGTTAATGCGAACAAAAGAGGGTTAACTCTTACTCTAGTCATGGGTATTGATATCTTTTAAAGAACTTAACGCGAAAGAAATTTTATAAGATAGGATTTTGGACGGTTATGGTGTTATTTTAATAGAAAAAAATACCTTCGAGACTTGTATGGTAGGAGAGGTAGGGGAAAGACAGAATAATTAAATAAGTAGGGTATGAAGGGCACAAGGAAAAACGCTATTAATAGGAACGTAGGTAGGTGAGAGTGCTTTCCAAGGAAACATAAACCAGAACCCGAGGGGAGAGAGGTAAGGGCCATTAAACGTGGGGTTTTCCAAAAGTGTATTAGATTAGAGGTATATTTATTATCGTCTTCTTTGCTAAGTACATATTCTATTTGAATATTTGAATAAATTTATAATATATATAAGAAAATAAGCAAAATAAAGTTATTAAGGGGTGATGCATTATAAATTTTATAAGTTAATAATTTTCTTAAAAGAACAAACCTTAAAGAAAAAAATGACAAGTCGCAAAACAAATGTGGAAGGTCCAAACTTAAAATACACTCATACAATAATCTGAAAAATCGATCCAATGAAAAGTGCCAACGAGATCTTGATCGTACATTTATGATTATTTTTAATTAAAATGATACTTTGACACTAAATAACTCATAATAAGGTAACGATCTAATTTTATTAAAAGTAAATTCTGGGTGTCTATAAGTGCTGCTGAATAAAGACCAAAGTTTTTTGTGTGCATCAATTCATGTTTCTTCTCTTCTCGTGCGTCACTGATTGCGTCATAGCCTAGTCGAAGACGTGAGAACAAGTTTATTCGTTCCACATCATTCCTCTAACTAACTCAACTTTATGGAAGATAAATATTTAAGTAAGAAAACAAAAAAAACATCGTTTGGATTAAAAGTATATAAAAATGATAGGAGCTATGTTAAATGTTAAACAACCCCCTACCCCATTTTGTGGATAGTTGAAAGATATGAGAGAATAAGGCAAAGCAGCAGTTAGGATTGTATCTCTTGGGGGTTGTGTGGTCCCATGGGCATAAAAATCAATGAAAGTTTGATCCTTGGGACTGAAAAGGAAACCCACTAAAATTGTTTATGAAGTGTTGTAGAGAATCTTTTAATGAAATTAGTGCCTTTTATCTACTTTAGTCATAGTGATTATGCACATTCTCATTCTGGTGTACAGAGAATAACATGCAGATAGTCCCAAAGCAACTGAATTGACATTTGAATGCAATCTCAAAACCAAAAAACCACCATTTCCCACTGGTCATTGCGCCATAATCATCTGTCACTCTCTCACCCTTACCCAAATGTCTTACTTAATGGTCTCGTGCCTCAGTTTTCTTTCTTCCTCTCTGTTTCTTTCAAATTCCTTCACTCTAATTCATTCACCATTTTTCTATTATCACTTCACACACACAACCATTCTTCTCATAACCAGGAATGCATTCCCTAAAATATACGGTCAAATCACCTAGCTTCTAATCCCAAGATACCCATACACAATATTCAGGATTATGGGTATAATTCATATAGGAGCATTTGTTATACTATAGTTGAATGTAGGAACGGTATAAAGAATATTGTTAATTATACAAAACAGCTTTTTTTTTCAGTAATATTTGTTTTGAATGTGTGATTATTTAAAATCTAATTTATATGTTCATCTAGTGATTATAAATTATGGCAAGTATCAGCGAAAATAGTTTTTTTGTTCTGGGATGTGTATTTCTTGATGAATAAAGCATAATAATAATAGTTTTGAATTAAGAGACAGTGGGTGTAAGGTAATACGTTTAGTAGAAAGGGTGGATAAGCACGTTTAATGAAGTAAAATAATAGATTGGTAGAGTTGAAAGGTGCATGGGGGATTGACATATGGGTAAATTAGAAAGTACAGGTATTGAGAGTGGTGGTAAAATTGAAATATCAAATTTTAATACTTGTTATGACTATGTTTTTGTTACTTTTTCTCTCAGTATTTGAATTACTCAAGTTGAGAAGAAAATAAAGGTGCTTTTTTTTTTTGCTCATACGGGGGTGGAGAAGAATTTTTACTTCCTCAAAACAATACCGATTGTACAACTTAATTGACTTATTATATCAACAATTATTTCCTCAAAATAAAGAGAAACTCTATTGTTATTTTCATTCTTTCTCGTGCAAACTAATTGAATAGTTATGTTTTTATACTATAGAAAACAAAATTAAATTTATTTTTTATGATTTATTGCATTTGTGATTTGTATTTGAAGAGTTTATTGGTGATTCGGGCCATGCGTATTCAGATTGTAAATGGAGCAATGAAATTAAAAAGGAGTCATATATCATTGAAGAGATGCAATGTCGGAACCAAACTAATTTGAGTATTCTCTACGATAACGAACACTTGTGTTGTAACAAAGAATATTTTAACTTCATTAGATGATGTAGATTTTACATATGAGTGCATTAGAATTGAGGAGAGAAGTTGGGGGTTCTTACACAACATGACATAGTTAGATGTGGATAGATAATGGGTTGTAATGAAGCTGTATCATAATTCGTGATTTGTATAAATCCAATGTTTTAGATTAGAATAAGAAATAAACCCACTCTTTCTAAGAGATCTGTTTAGAAAACGTAGAGAATTGGAATAATTCTACGTGTTTGAATATCTCTGATGAATAAACTCACGTATATGTCTTGTATTTGTTTTACATATTAGATGTTGATTATAAAATTTAAATAATGGTTTTTGTCATATAGTGTCCTTTGTTAAACATGTTTTCCTAAGGATAAAAAACAAATTATATTTCAATGATCTATCCTAATCCACAAAAAAATTGTTTTGGGTCATTTTGTAAAAACTGAGGCCAATTATTGTACTGGACATACATAAACATATCCACATATAAAATATATACACTATACAGGTACACAGATACATATACATACACTAATCCGTGGTCCATTACCCATATACATATACAAATCACGCGATATACTATACATACCCAGGTATACATATACATCCACATATACAATCTCAACATATACACTAGGGTACATACACATCTACAGTATGGCATACAACAAATATACATATATATATATATATAAAAATATATTAAGACAAGAGTTTCTAAAAGCAAACAAAGATTATTTGGTTTCAATTTGTGCATTATGTAACACATATTTGTGTTTATATAATAATGATAATGTTATCGTTGTATTTGATTAAGCTTGTATAAGGCTTTGATAAATTTATAGTATAGTTTGATAATTTAAGTTTTGATAGTATTTCGAAAATACAGTTGAAGAGATTGAAAGAAGAAATGTGTATAGGTCGCAGGCAATTACCGTTTCCTATTTGAATTTGCTAAAATAATAATGATTAAATGTTTATCTCGTTTGATGAACCGTTTTTCAGGAGAATGGGCAAATGTTAAATTATTGCATAATTGTAAATGTTTAAGCCGACCGTATCTATCACATCGGTATATTGCTAGCATTCAATGAATAAAATACAAAAATTAAAAAGTCGTATCAATGATGAAAGTAAGAATATAGTTTATTTATATGTAGTAAATATAAAAAATACATAATAATTGGAAACAAAGGCAACTGATAAAATAAGGGAGAGGTATATTAGTTGAAAATGTATAGTTTAGTATGAGAAGCTGAATGTGGCAAGCACTGGGGATACACAAGAAATAGAAAGATTGGGTTGGAATTAGCACCAAAGAAACAACTAACGATCCGTGGCAACTTCCATCCTCATTTATAAACTACAACTCACGCAATAAATCATCATCAATATACTTCATTTCTTATAGTATCACAAAGTGTGTCCGCAACACTTAGCTTACGTTGTTACTAATCGTTTCTAATTATAACTATTATTATTTTTTGTTAGTTTTACTACCATTGTCAAATGACAATGTGTGGTGTTGGAAAGAATTAAAAGACATACCACACAAAGAGGTTAAATAAT